ATTAATTTTTATAATGACTGAAATGAAGTTAAAAGAATAATGTTCTCGTTATACACTTGATAAACATTTTTCCCATTTATCCTCTTTCATTCATGCAATTTTTTCGAATTATGAACTTCCATGATTGGCTAACACATTTGCATTTTCTATAATTAATAATCATTTCTCTTCCCCAAGTAGCATCATTTTCATCTCATATTGGATTGTGCTCATTAATATTTTCTTTGCTAAGCCCCTGTTTGGGCTCCATTAAAAGCAAATTTTGGGGGAAAATGTAGTTTGGAATAGTGATTTTTCAAAAAATGTATGGTTAAAAATAAAGAAATTTTGGGTTTACGTGTAATATTATTTTATTGGAGAATGAGTGATTGAAAATAAGAGAGAAAAATGCATTTTTGAAATAATGAAGGCCAAACAAAGGCTAAATCTGACAGTATAATACGATGCAAGTGTTCTTTTCACTTTGTTCTTACTTGTTTTTGAAAGTGATGGTGTATTTCGAACAAGCTGACGAAACTGTTCAATGCAATCAGCCTCGTGAACTTCGTTTCTGAATAGGCCTTTAGTGTGAGAAATTTAGGATGGACATTTATCTACTCCTGTCTGCTTTGGCTACTACATTTTGAGAACTTGATTCTGTATCTAATCTTGTTTATGGGTGCAGCTATGTGCAGTGGTATCTGGAAAAGGAGAAGATGGAGCACAGATACTGAAATCAATTATCAAAAATTCCTTATTTTATCTTACTCTGAATGGCCATGATTTTGCCTGCAGCTGCAGTTATTAAACTCTGTAATATAAATGCTCATTTGCAGATATCTACTTCTGTGACCTCCATCTTGTGTTAAATCACCTGATGTTTGAAATCTGTGATGTTATGCTAAAATTTTCTGAATACCTGTTTTTTCTTCTTCTTGAATAAAGAAACATATTTTGTTATGACATTTTTATCAGTTCTGCCTCTTCCTGCATGGTTTCTCCAAAATTACTATGAATCTGTTGCTGTTAGGTCTTTGAAAGATAGTAGGATTTGATTTTAGAATAATGCTCCTTGAATAGGGGCTTTTGACAGGATTGGTTGACAGGCAGCACCTGTCTGGATGGCTTTTGTTTTTTTTGGAAAATTCTATTTGTACAATCGAAATTGACAACCTCTCACATGTGTGCGGGGTCTGCATGTTTAAAAAATTCAAAAACAAAAGTAGACCCCCCATGTGAGTAGTTGTCAACCGAGGCCTCGATTGTACAACTAGCATGACTCTTTATGGTATTGAGAGTGGGATAGAGATCAGGGACTTAAACAAAGACATTTAGTAGGCGCTAATGGGAACATTTTCCCCAAATTACAAAGTCTATACATGCGGACACATAGCAGAAGGTAATTTGAGCATTTTGCTTTGCCTAGAAATTATTGTCAACTGAGGTTGTACAACTAGCATGACTTTTTTTTTTTAACTGTTTAATGAACGAGTGTCACGTGTCGCCTGTTGAAAATCCTGTAGCTGAGCCTGTGAGATTGTGTCTAATTCTTCGCTTAAAGAATTCAGTTTGCAGAATTCTTGATGCTGCAGTGCTGCTTTCAACTTGATCTCTCATATTATTGTCTTTGATTTATCTATAGAACTTGTTTAGAAATGATGAATCTGTTCAAAAGCGCACCATAGTGTATTCAAAATAATGGAGTATTATAATTGTTAAAAACATAAAGCATGATAGTGAAAAATGAAAATTAACAGATGATTTTTGAAGCGTAAACTTCTTTGGAAAAAATAATGTACCAAAAGTTGCGTTTGAAGCCTCATTTTATGTAAAAAATGAGTTTTTTAGTAGTTTCGTAAAATTAAGTCCATGTTTAATCCCCATTATTTAAAAATTCCTTTTTTCCTACCTCATATTCAAGCACACATTATTCTTATAAAATAATTTTATACATACGTTTAAAATATTTTCCTACTTTTTAACCATGCAAACTTTAAAAAATTATTATTACAAAATATTGTCCCGAATGAGGCTCAAAGCCACAAACAAACCCTAATTGTTCTATTTTAACAATTCGACTTTCAAGATTCTCGAACCGAACTAACCAATGTCCATTGGTGTTCCATGCTCCTAAATATGAACCTGTCCACGCACGATAGATCCCCTCTCTCCTACACTAAAAATTCCAATAATTTATTTGGTGTACATCATTGTTTATACTATAACTAGGTTTAAGCAACGTGCAATGCACGTTTGCTTAGTTTATATATAGTTTTTTTGGTTAAGAATTACATTTTTATTAATAAAGATGTAATTTTTTTGGTTAATTAAATAACTGATGATGTAATGTTTATATAATTGATAAATAATTACACATTGTGATATATTAAAAAAAGAGTATTAATAGAATCTATAGCATTGTCCTATAAATAAATATCGCTCATAGTTTTATGAAAGCCGTTTGAGATAATTTTGATTCTAAGATGACGATTCAGTGTTTTCATCATCTT